TAACGGGCATTTTTTTAAAACCTCGCCCCAGTTCAACTGCACCCTGTTCCGAATAAATCGAAAAGAGGGAGGCACGCGGAACGCCTGTGTCCACTATTTTGAATTGACTTCATATTGCTCGTGTTTTACAAAATCCCGCAAGAGATTTTATTTAATCGCCCACAAACTTGGCACGAAGCTTCGCCTGCAGATGAAAAACATTCGTTGAAACGGTTTGCTTCTGGCGTGCCGATGCGCTCAGATACGATGAAAAACGATGCGGTTTGCACGCACACATCGGGGCCTGGCAAAAACATTTCCCGGCTTCCAAGTCTGGAATTTACGGCAGATTCGATTTGATTTCGAGAGTGCTCCAGTGCGGCCGGCCGGGGGGCGCGAGGCGAGACGGCGCGCGCGCGCGACTGACCGGTTGCCGCCGGTGGCCCTGAGCTTGATGTGCAGCGCGGTGATGCCGAGCTCCTTGCAGCGCTGCGCCACGTCCTGCGCCGCCAACATGGCGGCGTACGGGGACGACTCGTCTCTGTCCCCCTTCACCTTCATGCCGCCCGTCACGCGGCCGAAGATGTGGCAGGCGCCGAAGACGTTCTCACCCTCGGCCACCTGAGGTCCCAAACTGATCACCTGCTCCTCCTTCTTCTCCTTGCCTTTGCGCGGCGCCATCTCGTCTAGTCATGTGCACATTCAAAAAAACATTGTGACACATCTGCTTTGGCCAAAAGAAAAACAAAACCCTTGCCCATGAAGCGAAATCTTTCCCAAATAGGCACACTTAGCCGCAAAACACACGGTGAACACGTTAACCGGAAATTTCCACAACTTTTCAAGGTGCATTGTGGGGTATATACGCAGGGGGCACTTTAATGGGGCTACGTTTTCCAACACTCACGACACAGGCTCTTCAACGGTTCGGTGGGACGCGATTCCGAAGGGGGTCAACAGGAATAAGACGATTTGCTCGCGACCGTTTCCCTCTGGACGACTCGCTGTTGCGTGACGTCACACGAGCGCACCTCCAGCCTCAATGTGCCAGCGGGGAAATTTCGCCCTCTGAGACTGAGAGGAGGGTATCGGTCTTTCGGTGCCAAACGAGAACGTTTGCAGACGAACACGCGAGCGGCTCGCGTCCCGTTTTAAAAGGCGGCCGGCGAGCGTCGAGGATGGCGACGGGCAAACGGGGAAGGCGTCAAAGCGGGCAAACGAGCGCATCCAAGACGACAATTTCAGGCCGACAAAAGCCACCGAGTACGACGAAGACGGCCCGCGGCAAAACAAAGTGCCGATGAACTCAAGCAAAGGCGATTGAGAAGGATGGCGAAGCGAACGGCTCTCACCTCAGTGTATCGCTTGTCGGGATCCAACTGGAAAAGAAAGAAGCGACCGTTTCCGGGGTTAAAGTTGCCGCCGCACTTGGCGCGGGAAGGCGGCCGCCCGCTTCTGCCCCCTGGTGGCGGGGATGATCGGATGCGCGGGGTTCTCCTGGTCAAAACGAAGCGGCGAGCGCTTTTGGATGACGGCACATCGGTGTACTGGATGCCGAACTGCACGCCTTCAAGCTTTCGGGCATTGTTTAAAAGGCTCAAAGCCTCATGTGACACTTTGTGCCATGGTCAACTGCTCGAATGTAATTTAGAGGTTTGAACGTTGGTGTAAAAAAAACAAAAATAGCATCCATTCATTCGTCACCGTTCTCGACGCCAAAAGATCCAGACGGACTAAAAGTGGACATTTCTTGAATATCGTTATCTCACAGGCGTATTCTATTTATCCTTTGCAAAGAATCTCAAATAACGTATTACTGTGGCTTACTGAGTTGTCCCCACGTCTGTACTATTTTTTCATCCCAAAACATTATGTAATTTAAATGGTTTATTTTTTTTTTTGGAGGGGTTGGGGTAGAATAGCACTTCCCTTTATTATAGGGAAAGACGGTTTGCGATGTGTTTCGAATGAATCTTTTCAGATTCCACACATTAAATCCCTGGTACTTTCTTTTCAAGACTTGATGTTAAAAAAGGGGTTTGAAAATAGCTGGTCCAAAAAACAAACAAAAAAAAAATCACATGAATACGTCATTCTGATCCACTTTTTTTAATTGATTTTTAAAATTCGACAACACTGCACAACGCAGGAGAAATACGTGCACGTTCTCTCCCGCGCGCACGCACACCCGTGTTCACTTCCTGTTACGCAGCGAGCATGCAGCCGCTGACACGTCACAACATTGACAGTTTTTTTTTTATTTGGAATTCTTATTTGTTTTGATTTTTTTTTTTTTACATTTTCTGTGTCGTCGCTTCACCTGAGAGACGTGACCGTTAGCATGTTTAGCATCGTTGGTCTAGTTAGCGTCTTAGCTCAGAGCTCAAGCAACAGCTGCTAACAATGCTAAAGCTAAAAAACCCTAGAAATGGGAAAAAAACACTACTTCCTGTACATCAATGTGACGCGTGGGCCGTCATCAGCCTCCAAATAACTGAGCGCACCAGATTTCACATTCAAAGCGATTAAAAAAAAAAAAAAAAAAAAAAAAAACATCGGATAACCCTGCAAGTTGGAAGGCAGGCTCACATTGCTAAAAAAAAAAAAAAAAAAAAAAATCCTGGCATTTCCAGTCTGACGATGGCATCAGCGCCCAGTCAAAACGGCAGGAAGGTTTCCACTGAGCACGCGAGAAGATTTCACTTTCAAAGCAGTTAAAGCCAACAAAGAGAAACAAACGCAGCGGAGTTAAGAACATCCCGGGAATGGTCGGTCTATCGAAAGTTGCTAATCAATGGAAAAAGTAGATATAAATCAAACATGAATCTTGCTTGGATGTAAACAAGCCCAAAATCACATGAGCACGAAGCCACTCCAAACAGGAAGTTGCGTGTCAAAGTTCAAACGCATGCAATTGAAAGCGGAAGAAGAGCGCGCACACACACACACACACACACCCACACACACACTCTGACAAATGCACACATTCTTCATACACACACATACACACAAGTAACAAGACCACACACAATCATACACCACACACACAATCATATACACACACACACACACACACACACACACACACACACACACACACACACAAAATAACACTCACCCATACAGTCGTATAGACACTGATGTACACGCACACGCATACCACACACACCCACAAAAGACAAAGTAATTGAACGTGAAAGCTCTTCAATTGGATTAACGAGCTCAAAAGACAATAGACATCAAATGATTATTTTTTTTGTCTTTTGAATTATTACTATGTCTGTTAGACTCCGCCCAAGGGTAGTGAAGGAGGCGGGGCTTGGAAGGAGCAGACCCCTGAGGGGGCGGAGTCAAAGTGGAGGAGTTTATGGAAGCTCGAGAGGTCAAAGAGGAGAGAAGGAAGCGTCTGGATGGAACAAAATGTAGCAATCGCGATAACAACTGGATTCGGTCATACCGCCCCCTACTGGTTAGCTGGCAAATCTCTCTCTCTCTCACCCACACATGCACACACACCCACACACTTGCCACTTCCCTCTCTGTTTACGGATAGACATTTCACTTTGCAACGCTGAGCTATGTTAAGCCCTCTGGCCACAGGGAGTTCTGTGACGTGTGTGGTGAGGGAGGTCTGTTATTCATCAGTCACATGATAACAGAACTAAGGGTATACAATGAGGGGTGTGGCTGAAGCAACCCAAAAAAATAAATAAATAAAAAAGGGACGGGGCTCTGATTGGTCATGGACGGATTAACATTGAAGGGGTTTGTTGCGGTTCGGCCCCACCCTCAAGCGCCTCCTCTTCCTATTTGTTGACGGGACCGGCCTTCTGTCATTCAATTGGTCGTCCGGGTGACGGTGACCTCATCAAAGGACCGCCAACGTAGGAAGTTAGCTAAGTGGGACACAGATGGAGGACAAAAAAAAAAAGAAAAAAAATTAATATCCAGCCATTATCCGAGCTGCTTATCTTCGAGAGGGTCGCGGGCCTGCCGGAGCCTCTCCCAGCCGTCTTTAGGCAGCAGGAAAACTTTATTCTCACAAAGCGATACGCACGGCTCACGAGCAAACTGCGACAATGACGGGTTCACTTTTAAAAAAAATGCGCGAGCCGGCCACCTTCTACAAAATGCTATATCGTGTTGGGCTTCGGCAGCTAAGTGTTTTAGCTAGCTAATTGTTCAACTCCCGCCAGCTAGCTACTGAAATATCTGGCGAGCTCCCGGTGAAATTTGATCCAACTCACTTCTAAAGTGTCAGCCAGCTAGCTAGAGAATTTTCAGACAGCTAGCTTGCAAAACGTGAGCCAGTTAAAATCTGTTTTTAATTTGACCTGGCTAATCTCTAGCCAGCCAGCTGCAAAAATGTAAAAGCCAGTTCACCGCTAAAGTTTTAGCGAGCGAGCTGCTGAATTTGCTGACACCGAGCCTCTAAACGTGCGAGCCGACTGCCAAAGCTCCGACCAAAAGCTGCGTTTGTTTCCGCCCGATTTGAGTCATCTTTTGATCGGCGACACATGCCGCGAAAGCGACAGCCCGCTAGCCGTACTTGCTCAGCGTGGAGGGCGAGCCCGAGCGGTGGAAGTGGACGATCTGCCACTTGCCGTCGCGGCGGTGCCACACCCGGGTCTCCTCCGACTGGACGGTGCGCGGCGTCCCATTGCCGTCGATGTACTGAGTGACGCGGATGTACGCGATGCACGCCGCCTCCTCGCCCACCAGGTGGATGTGAGGGTTCAAGATGGTGGTGTGCACGGGCTTGCTGTTCTTGGACCACACTGCAAGCGCGCGCGGGTGCGCAAACATGCGATCGGTGAACGGGAAGTAGCAGTGAGCGGGCAGGAACGGGCAATGTGCTCACAGTTTTCAAAGTAGAAGCGATGGAAGTCCAGCCCTTCCACCAGGTTCCCCAGCGCCTCGGGTTCGAACGCCGTCACGGCCGGGTCGCACATCTTCCTGCGGAAGGAACTGGCGGCGGTGACCGAGCGACACTTGGGCTCGCCACTTCCACATCCAAGGCCCGACTTACGTGTAGCTCTCAAAGTCGCCGTTACTGATGGCCTCGATCAGCATCTCCGTCACTTTGATGATGTCCTGCTTCCTCACTGGCGCGCGCACGCACACACACACGCTCACTAAAACCGACACTTGAGAGAGACTGCGTGTGCGAGTGCATCTTTGCGTGCGCGTGTGGTTGCGAGTGTGCGACGTGGCCTGCGTTTGCCTACCTCGAGTGTCCTCATCCTCAATGGTGGTGTTTGTGCTCTCTGAGGACTCCTGCGGCGACAGGAAGTGCGCGTTACTGTACAGGAAGTTGTTAGTGACGGATCAAGCCCGGCGTCCGCTCACCTTGACGCCGTCCGTCTTCTTGTTTCCGGTCTTCCCTCCTGCGGGCGGGACGACCACAAACACGCAGAGGAGCAACAACAGCGTCATGGACACGGCAAACAGCGCCACCGCCTGGACCACGGGCCACATGACGTCGCTCTGGGACGTACGCGAGATGGAGGCGGGCTCCTTTCGCAGCTGCAGACTCGATCCGCTGCTCCGCGCTCCCGATTTACGCTTACGAACGACGACGCTCTCCGCGGCTCTCCGACTGCGCCCGACGCTGCGCTACGCCCACGACATGTACCCGAGGCCCAAATCCGCACTGACACGCGCCAGCTCCCCACAACCGTGCGTCTGCTTAGCAATCGAGCGCTCTGCTTACTTTCTGTGTCGACGACTTTCCAATGAACTTGAGCTCTGCGCTCAGCATCCTACCTGTGCACCATCCGTCCTTCCTTCCTTCCGTGTGTACACGAGCTGCGTACGAACTATTTGTTGACATCAAGTGCGCTACGTCCGCTCTGCCTCTGGTTCCTGCCCCACCTACCGAGAAGCTGATGTACCTGGCGCTGTACTTCAGCAGCACAAGCGCGACCGGCGTTATCCCGACTGCTGCACTGGAGGCGACTACTGCTCCACCTAAACCAGCTCGGCACCGAGATGTCCGCGTACCGGTCGACTTGAGGAGCTACTGGCCTGCAGCGACAACCCTAACACCGTGCGGCTGGAGCACTACGCGGGTGTCCGTCCGTTTCCATCTACGGCTCTTATGTGGTCCGGGTGATCAAAGACCTCAGGAGAGGGAAAACAAAACAAAACAAAAAGATCCCCCCGGTTCCCCCGCAAAAAAAGCATCCAGCAGCATGCGCGCAGTCCACCAAGACTCGAGGGAATGTGTGCATGTGGGCGTGGAGGGGAGCAGGAGTCAAGTACGAGGCCACTTTTAGCAAACACTCGACACCACACATTCCTCCAACGTGACACAGGATACACAACAGACACACACAAACACACACACACACACACACACACACACACACACACACACACACACACACACACACGCACACACACACACACACACACACACACACACCCTGGTCTGGTCTGCATCACAACAGGAAAGGTTGGGACCAGGCTTAGGGCTAGGACCGGTGCAGGTCTCGGAACAGTAGGCTCGGACCAGGACTAGTTGGCGGACCAGGGCGAAGACCGGGGCCTGGGCAGTCAAAGACGAGCAGTGCTAAGACCAGGACTAGTTCCAAGACCAGCGCTTGGATAAAGTCTTGCCTCGGGACCAATACCAGGACTAAAACTGTGACAAGCAGGCCCAGGATCGGGACTGGAACTAGGAATCTGTCTCAGATAAAGTCTAGCTCCAGGACTTGGTCTAGACTTGGGACCAGGATCAGATCCAGGTTTGAGACCAGCCCTATGAGCTAGATCTAGCATTAGCACCTAGGACTAGGATGAGTAGGACCTTGGATCAAGCCTAGACTAGGAACAGTCTCAGACCTGATTCTAGCCCTCAACCAGTTTTCAACAATGGTATTCGGGGCCAGGTTTAGTACCAGGACCGGACCCAAACTTGAGATGAGAAGAAGGACTAGGACCAGGTCTTGGACCAGGTCTTTTGACCAGGATCAGGACTTTATGAGCTTGTTGAAGTGGAAGGGAGCTACTACAACAACAACCGCTATGAATAGACTACAAGGTGATTGACATGGGACCACAGCTGCCCCCGACACCCCCCCCACCCGAGACACACACACACACACACACACGGTGTAAATGTGACAATCGTGCGCTCACTAGCAGTTAGTCTGCTGTTAGCGTGCAAGTCAAAGGTCAGACCGGGAAATTTTTCACATGAACTTTGCACCCGTTCATCTGTCGACCCACCTGAGAAGTTGCGGGTGGCCAACATGGTGGTCAAGATGGCGCCCTGCAAGTGAGCGAGGAAACAAGGAAGGGAGGAAGAAGAAGGGAGTAAACGAGGTAGGAAGTAGAAAGTCAAGAGGAGAGGAAGGAGGCCAGAGGGCGTACGAGGGGAGGAAAAATAGAGAGTGGAGGAGCAAGGGGAGGACACCAGGTTGTCGGTGAGGAAGGGGACAAGCAAAGAGAGAAGAGGAGCAAGTCCCGAAATGGAAAAAGAAGGAGAAAAAAGGAAGAGATGGAAGGAGAGCAGCAAAGGAAGGGGAGGGCAGAACGGAGGGAGTGAGAAAGGGCAAAGAAGGAAGCAAGGAATCAAGTCAAACGATCGCGATGGAGGGAGAAAAGAAGAACGGAGGGGGACGGGGGAAACGAGACCTCGAAAGGGAGGAAGGAGAGGACAAGGGGGGGGGGACACACGAGTAGGGTTGGCGCGAGGGACGTGACTTGCGATGGGCCGGAAAATCGGCGCCCACTTGTGAGCGTGGAAAGCGATCCCACGGGCCGTCGGCCCGTCCTACCTTGAGCTTGCGGCGGGCGTTAAACTTTTTCAGACATTCCACCGTCTCCTGCCGATGCATACAGGACGCCACCGTGGAGCGATGCTGCAGCGCACAAAGGGGCACACGCGCACGCGTGTTAACACACACACACACAAACATGTCAGCCTGGAGCCCCACGAACGAAAGAGGCCGACGGTCGCTCACAGAGATCCAGGGGTGCTTGAGGGCCTCGGCGGCCGAGATGCGTTTGGACGGGTTGATGGTCAACATCTTGTTGATGAGATCTTTGGCCTCGGGAGTCACCGTGTCCCACTCGGGCGACGGGAACTGCGAAGGACAAAGAGCGCCGTGGCAACCGACGGTCGTGCGAGCGGCCGCGGCGGCACGTGACCTCGTACATCGTACGCTCCCGCTTTGATCTGCTGATACAGACGGTGCTGGTCTTCATCCCAAAAGGGAGGATAGCCCACCAGGAGGATGTACAGGATCACACCTGAGGGCGGAAAAGGCACCCGTGAGCAAGCAAAAAGACGAGCGACGACGCGCGACAGACAAGAAAGGGACACACCTGGGCACGGAAAAAACACAGCGAGGAGATGCAAAAGCAGACAACCGAGAGCACATCCGAGCGCCCGCCTCCGGGCGCAACAAGATAAAAGTTGGGAGAGAGACGGTTGGGGATGCAACCGAGGACCCGCACGACAAGTGACGACACGTCGTGGGACGCGGAAGAACACGAGCGAGCGCACGTGGCCGAGCGCGGCCTCAAGAGCCGGCGGACCGAGGACGGATCCAAGGATGCAAAACGCAAGTGAGGACACACGTATAAGACGCGCCTGAGGAGACAATACACACCTGAGCACACAAAAGACACACCCCAGGAGACAGGACACACCTGAGGAGAGGAAACAAGGAGACAAGTGGAGGAAAGAAGGTGATGAACAGAGAGAACAACACGCACGCACGCACGCACAGAAAAAGGGCGCAGGAGACAAGGAGAGGAGTGCGGAAAATGAGAAGGGGACAACGAGGAGAGGACTGACAGAGAGAAGACAAGGTGGAGACGGTTGGGATCTGACCGCAGGCCCACAGGTCCACGGCTTTCCCGTAAGGGTCCTTCCGCAGAACTTCGGGAGAAAGATATCCAGGAGTCCCGGCAAAGCCTGAGCACACACGCACGCGCGCACACACACACACAGCGGTCGCCTTAGCAACATGGTTGCTCGGTGGTCATCATGGCGATAGCAGATGAAGGCGTCTCCTACACTATCGGGGATGGCGATGATGCCGATGAAGATGATGATGATGATTATGATGATGGTAGTGATCGTGATGATGAGATGATGGCGATGACGAAAGGAGCACGTTGACGGCGCCGGCGTGGTCTCACCGAACCAGGCCTGCTGCTCGCCCTCCACCTCGATGGCCAGCCCAAAGTCGGCCAGCTTGACCGCCGCCCCCTTGGACTTGGAGGCCAGCAGCAAATTCTCCGGCTGCGCGACAACAACGACGACAACACGCGTGCTAACCATGCTAGCTGACCATGGGAGGCGGGGGGAAGGGGGGGGGGGAAGGAGGAAAGACGGCAAACCTTCAGGTCGCGGTGGACGACGCCCATCTGGTGACAGTGAAGCACCGCCTCCAGAATTTGCTGGATGCAGTGGCTGTCCACAAAATTCAAAGGTCAAACGCTTTGGCTCAAGCTAACGCTCACGCGCCGCGCTGCGCCGCGCCGCGCCGCGCCGCTCACCTGGCATCGGCTTCGCTGTAATACTCTCGGGCGACGATGTCTTCAAACAACTCGCCACCTGTCACCCTGACACGCACGCACGCACACAATGTGGAGTCCGCCTTTCCAAGGGTGCCGGTGGCGGCGACAATGACATCATAGGTCAGAGGTCGGGCAAGAAGACTCACAAGTCAAAGATGAGGTAATGATGAGCCTCCTCCGAGATGCTGTCGTGAAGGCGCACTGCAAGGGAGCGAGGAAAAAAAAAAAAATGAAACTTCACATTTTGGGGCAATTCTAACGAGCCACTTGCGCGTCCTCGAGTCTCAAGTTGTGTCATTTTTCACGGATGCGAATGTGAAAAAAAAAATGACCTCAGGTGCACCGAAGCGGCCAATCAGAACGCTGGCTGAGGTCGAGCGTCCAATGGCAGCTCTGTGTGGGTGGGCGATGCTCGACAGATAGCGAGGAGGCTTACATAACATAACCCGCTCCGTGTGTGTGTGTGTGTGTGTGTGTGTGTGTGTGTGTGTGTGTGTGTGTGTTGCCAAGCAACAGTGTCTTCAGGTGAAAGCGTCAAAAGCCTCCCGACAACTCACACACACACACACGCACAGCATTAGCGCAGCGTGTAGGAGTGTTTGGAGAGAAAAATCTAATTGTTTCTCTCTGAGAGCTTTTTTTAACACAGGTGTGTGTGTGTGTGGGCAGCAGCAGCGGCCCTGCTCACCATGACAAACTAAATGCAGTGCCTTGCATTTAGCGCATGTCGTTTTCAATGCGAGGAGGTCATGTGACCAAAGACGCGGGTGACATGTGACGTGAGAGAAGAAAGGAAGTGGCTGTGCACGTATGCTTATTTAACACATCTTTACTCATCTGTACCAGTTTCATGATCAAGTACAAAAAAGTGAATGGGATCAATGAAAAAAAAAACAACAACAAATAAGCACATTTCTGAATGTATTCCGTTTTACAAAAATACTTCAATATATTTAGCCCCGCCCCAATCCTAATCAATGATGTCACTGCTCAGTCAGTGTTGGTGTTCTCCAACCACATCTCGGTCACACGATGATGACATCACATGAATTATGGATGGCACGGCGACGAGCGCGGCGTCCATAATTCATGATCGTCATCCTCGGGCCTTTTTTCCTCCGCGGCGACTCACCGATGTTGGGGTGCTTGAGCAGCCGGCAAATTCGAGCTTCGCGGTCCAGCTTTTGATGATCTGACGACACAGAGAGACGAGGAGAACGTTTGCATTTGGGCGAAGGCGTCATCGGGCCGCGCCCGTTTCCCGCCCCAAAGCGTCGACTTTCCCCCGCTCGCCGCCGAGCGGTCGCGTCTCACCTCGCGCCGACAGCTTCTTGGTGTTGATGATCTTGGCGGCGAACTCCTGACCCGACAGCACCTTCACGCAGCGGCGCACGACTGAGAACGCACCCCTGCCGGTGGACGCACACGCACACGCAACTTCATCAACTGAGGGAGGGAGGAAACGCAGTCGCAAGAAAGAAAAGAGAAAGGACACCAGGGACGGAGGAGAGAGGAAAGGTCGAAGGAAGCAAGGCGGGAAAGGAGATAAGTGAGCAGAGAAACGGGAGCGAGCCAGCAAGCGCAGCACCAAAAGGGTTGAGAGAGCGAGGAGCGAGGAAACGGGAGCCGAAGGGAGAAATGAAGGAATGAAGGGAGGAGGTACCGAACGGAAAAGGGGAAACTCGGGAGCCTGGAAAGGAAACAAGGGAGGAGGGGAAAGAGGGAGCAAGGAGATAGGAGAGCAAGGGATCGAGGCAAAAGGAAACAAGAGCAAAGAAGGATGCAAACAAGGTCACAAGGAAGGAACACGGTCAGAGGGCGGGAGCAAGGAAACAAGTGAGCGAGGAGCGAGGAGTCAGGGCGTGAGTTAAGGAAACAAGGGAGCCAGGAAACAGGGGGGAAAAAAAGAATCAAACAGGCGGGCGGGGGAATGAGGGCCAAAGCAAACGGGAGCGAGGAAACACAAGAAACAAGGAAAGGCGTCGAGCCAGTTAGGAAGCCGATTGTGATCAGGTGATGACAGGTGATCGATACTGGATGGCTCGCTGCTGGTCGTCACGCAGCTTTGCGGGATGTCACGTCAACGCCGAAAGATGTCGGCCGCTTCTCCAGAGTACACCCACACACCTTATGTAAGAGACCCGCGCGCAAGCGCGCGCTCGTGTGTGAAGGTGGTGAGTGGGATGAGGTCACGGAGGTGCTCCGCTCATCCGTCCGTCCGTCCGTCCGTCCGTCCTTCTCATTTGATCCGGTCGCCATCCGTCCACCTCGTCTCGGTCTCGCCGCACAAGCGCGCATTTCAACCCATGCAACTTTTGAACTCGCCGTCCGTCCGCACGCTCGACGCAAAGTGAACGAATCCACTTACTTTCCCAGCTCCTCGTACAGTTGGTACTCCTCGGTGAAACGAGTGCAGATGACCGTTGCCATGGTGACCCGGCGGCGGGACGACAGTCGGGGGAGAAGCCGATGGCGATGACGGTGAAGGTCCCCGGCTGGATGTTGAAAAGGAGGAGAATGAGAGCAGTTTGATTCAGCGCGAGCGAGAAGAGGAAGATGATGAAGAAGATGGAGGGGACGGCGAAGAGCGGCTCCTCCGCTGGTTCTGCTCCCCGCCTACTCAACCC